GTGTGCTCTGAAAAAAAAGGGATATAATCCCCCTCTTCAGAAAATGGTCGAGCCGCAGCACAAAATAATGTTACTGCATGCAGGCGATCACATCAAGTGTGTGTACAACATTCATAGTCAGATAGTGTTGGAAAAGCAATGTTGGTTGGTGAGTAAAAACTCTGATTTATCAAAAATTTGTCGGTCTGAGGTCATATAACCTTTGACTGGTATTTAGTATTTTGTAGTTTTCATTTTTGTTGTATCCTCTTCTAGGTTTAGTACCATATCAGACTTTGGTCCTCTCAATTTACTTTGGATGTGAAGAAGTGGAATTATGAAACAGGAATATAACTTCCCCTCCCCACAATTTTTTTTTCAATCTGAGTGATGAAAACCTTACAATGAATTTTAGCTGGCCTTAATCAATGTTTCTTACGTTCAAAACATTTTAAATTAGCAAGTTTGGGAATAGATGGATCCCTACATTATTGATCATTGATGTTTCATTCAAACATGAATACTTTTGTAATGCTAGAAAATAGCAAGGTAAAAGTAAAATCTAGATCTTTAATCTCGTCAGTGAAGAAAGCGTGTTTATCCTGAAAGCGCTGTGCATCATTGCACTTCCTCACAATCAAAACATCTTCACAGAAGAGAGAATCACGGAGTGTAATCCACAGTTCTCATGCTTTTCAGAGCAAAACTTGGCAGTCAATGTTTGAGAGTGACGCATGTAATAGTTGCCTACTTTCCACACCATTGGTATTGGCACTGTGTGGCCTGATTAGCCAAGCCTGAATGCCAATTTGTCACGGACCTCCGTCTCTTTCTCCTTAAACCGTGTCCCTTTCCACTCGGTCTGGTCCTTTCAGACTTTTCCTTGTAAACCACTTTTAAAGGGAATATACAACATTTGCAAACATCGAAAAATAAAATTACCAAGTTTTTACGAAATACCTTAATAGGATGTTGGTAAATGACAGTCTAAAGCATCCTGTAAAATTATGGCACCTGGTATACTGTCATTTTCAAGAAAAGTGGTATTTTTGTATCAATTTCCAACGCTGATCGGCCGATCAGCGTTGGAAACAACTGGCTTTTTTTCAAATACTGGCCCCAATTGACCATTGCACTTGTTTGCAATCGATTACAAATCTATGAACGGGTACGAGCCAGCTAGACTGGTTCCCTGACCTTACAATTCCCCAATGTATGTAAACTGCTCTGTTTCTTCTTATATGGAGTCAGGGAACCAGACTACAGGAAAATGATCGTTTTTCTTGGTTTTTATAGCATTTTCGAACCCAAAACCTCCAAAAAGTCAGTGTAACTATATTTGCTTTATATTTCCAACCCCCAATTCCATCCATTTCTGAAAATTACAGCAAAAGCAAATGATGTATATTCCCTTTAATGAAGTATGAACACTTTACCAGTCAAGGTTCCATTTGTGTGGGTTTTGATAAACTGTTGTTGTACGAGTAATTGATGCTAGTCTAGTTGATGCACTCATTAAAGATTGTAGTTCTTAAAAGTCACCCCTTAACAGTTTTTTTTTATGGTGTAGGGCTTTCAGGCTCATTCAAGAGAGAGATAATGGCCTTCTTGATAAAAGGATGAGTCATTGCATTGTATGGTTTCATCAGGAATGGACTATCAGCTCATGTGGAGTTGGGGACAAGATTTGGAAATATGGCACGATTTGCGAGCAAAAAATTGTAAAGGGGTTGCAAGAGTGGGCGGAGCAAAAAGAAATATGGAGGGTGCGTGGAGGAAATTGCTGATGTAGAGTTATACGCCAACAATCGTGGGCACCCAAAAAATGGGGAAAATGTTTCCTACCTTTGGAATTGAAATTGCAGAATATTTCAGATATTTAAGTTCCAAACATGGAGTCTTAAGTTTTGAAAAGTAAAACTTTACACACCAACAATGGGGTACTGAAAGAATGGGGAAATACAATGTATAAAGTTTTCTTACCTTTGGTTGAAATATTTATACAATTGTATAAAAACTGAGTCTTATTTATTACATTTTTGAAAAGTAAAACTTTACACACCAGCAATCGTGGGTACTGAGAGAATGGGGAAATATACATTTTCTTTGCCTATGGTTGGAATTTTTATACAATTGTAGAATATTTCAGATATTTAAGTGAAGTTTGGCTTTTGCTTGATCTTGATTGTTTTTTTTATTTTTGAAAAGTAAAACCTTATTTCAAAAGGACATTATATTTTTGTTTTGGTCGAGGATTAAAGGCAGTTGAGGCTTTTTGACAAGACTGGTTCCCCTTCATACCCCCTTCTCTCTCTCCTCCTCCCCCCCCCCCCCCCCCATCCCCGAATCATGCCTGATGATGCTGCTCCCAAATGTATCTGATTTATGATTAGAATAAATGCAATACATTACTCTTTTTTTAATTTCGTGACACAGAAAATGCTTTTAAAGTTGGTACCAAATACTCCAATAGAAATGTTGGTTTTCATTTGCAGTAAAACAAGAATTGTACATAAAGTATGCACAGTACATGTTAAGTTCAGTTTTGCCTTTTTGGGTTGATACAGTTCAATAGTGTACAATGAATGCATACATAACATACAACCGGACTGCATGTACACTTGTACGCATTCATGTGTGCACACACAATGTGTGTACATGTATGTATTTGTCAATGCATCAGTATACATCATCGAAGTCTCAGTCATGCGTCACACTGATTGGTCCGTTGAGTGATCCATATCTGCAACTTTCTGTACTTTGTCCCTATCAACACAAACAGTAACTAACATAAACAGTGCCATCCATATCAACACACAGATGGGTAATTCCCTTTTTTGCTAAAAATAAGCACCATAAAGTACATGAAGGTGATATCATGCAACTGGCATGCTATTACTGCGCATTGTGTTACTATTGATCACTTTGAACGTTGCGGTTATGGCCAAACGAACGGCTGGGCGTCAAAAATGAACTTCAACAAAAGGGATTGTGTTTTGACCTGAAATCTCATCTGGAGATTTGTCAACTTTTTTCTTATATTTTGCTATTTGGTTCAAGGATGAATAAAGGTGAACTGCAAAATGGTTGCGTTTGTGGTTTGAGGGAAGCGGACAAAATAGAAGCTGTTTACATTGATAAAGAATTAACGTAACACCTGCGCATTAACAATACACTTGCACTAAGGTTGATTTTTAAAATAAGCCAGCTTTTAAGGCACAAAATTCTCTATTGTTGTTGTTGAAGCATGTGAACATTGTAGGTGTTTTAATTGTGTTCTGCTTGTATGCAGTACCGGTATGTCTTTGTATTATTGCCATTTAGGTTTGAAGTGATAGAAAAAAAGTACTTTTTTTGTTAATAGAAAATATGTTTGAAAAAAAACCCATATTATTTGTTAAAGAGCATAAACGGTACATCTAAAGGCCCAGTTGGACACAAGCAAAGTTGGTCAATCCCCCATCAGAAAATATGAAACTGCTGCATACAATACTAGTATCTGTTCTGTACTTTGTAAGAAAACTTAAATACCCAACATAACTTAGTGAAAGAACTCTTAATTTCCTTCCTGTTGTGTACCTGTTGATTGCATGGATTGTTGATTCCTACAGCCTTGAAGTCTGGAATGTGTTAATACCTGGACTCGATATCTGAATAGACGGAAATTGATCATCTACTTCCCTGTGATTATGGGATTTTTTGGATGGGCCCATCATAGTGTAGTGTATTCATTTCACGTTCGTTGCTGATTAACTGGGTCAGTAGAAATGTACATGTACGTTGCTTGAATGACTTCAGAAGCTTCTATGAGCTCTTGAAATGTAGAAACGTACATAATGATCCTAAAAAAGAAAACAATATTTATTATAAATGCATTCAATTTGGTGGAAAGCAATCTGAAATATCTCACCTCAAAATTGAGGAAGGTGCAAGAGATGTGAAGGGAACATAAACTCACTCAAAGTTTGCCAAGTTTGAGGGAGAATGAAATATTTTGGACTTTCTTTTTGGTCTAAGGCCTGTTAGCGTGCTTTTTAAAAAGAATTTCCAAAATACAAGTAGAAAAAGTAACAAGAACCGTAAAGTTTTGAAATATCTTTCACATTTTCCTGAAAGTTTTTCATAAATTTGGAAATGACGCCTTCTCAAAATATCCACCAAAACAATAGGGGGCCTATACGGTAGTTGAAACTTTCTCTTTTCCCAATCATTTAAACCTTCAGGTCATAAACATTCTTACTGCTTGTACAGTACCTTCTACGTGTACATGTACCTGAAGCTTCTAAATGTAGATACTATGTATAGAGTTCACTTTAAATATCATGGTGTGGTAGTCAATTTATTTGTCCTGCTTTGCGAAGCAAACAAAACTAGCGCATTCTTTTTGTGAGTTGGCAGTTCTGTTTATTTTAACAATTGTTTAAACAAAACAAATTAATTAGGCGTGTCCCCCATCCACCACTCCCATGCCTATCCATGCAAATAACAATATAAATCTCCCAAACAAATAATTAGATGAATAAAAAAAAGTAACATTTAAAAATTCCTTTCCCTGTCCACTTCTGGTTTATACTGTCCCTACTTCCTGATGCTGAGTTCTAAAAACATCTCTCCCCCCCCAAAGAGACTGACTCCTTCCGCCTTTTGCCGTCACTGAGGAGGAAACAGATTCCTCCCACTGTGCGCATTTCCTTCAATTACAGTCAGGTTTGTTCACAGCTGACTAGCAATTAAAGAGAGATGATGATCGACTCTATTGTTACATTATTACGTCTACAAGAACACGCTAAGCTTCCTTTTGCTACACGCACAAAGCCGATTGAATGACGCGACAATTATCCTGCGTTTGCGTCACAGAAAACTGTTTTGTCTGATCACCCCCATTGAAATGCCGTGTCAGAGAGAGTCACCTGAAAAAACAAGGAAGTCTTCAAATGTTTCTCCTATCGCACTTTGAAACAACACCCACAGCATCCCTTGTATAAGTTCGATTTCGAGTCTTACATGTACAACAAGGTTGTTTTATCCTGAGGTGCCCGAAGTGAACAAGTCATCAGTGTCAGTCGCTCTTCCATTCTTAATGCCCATTATCAATTTTCCAGTCTTTACCACAGGCCTCCAAATCCTGTCCTATTGTTAGGCTGACAACAACCCTGCGCCAGAGCCTGCTTTTTATATTTCCTGCAGTTCACTTACCTGCTCACCAAACAAACTCCCCTAAAAAAGAATCGGCCTCTAACCACAAAAAAAAGTCAGGATGAATGGAGACAGTAAGCGCTGATTTAATACCACGACCAGGGCGCACAAAAGCAAGGAGTCAACGCTTGGTGAATTCAGTGCGCAGTGAATGGCGGTAGCTAGAGGAACGCATGTGTGTGTGCTGAACACTTCTTGTGTGGTTTGGGGATCGGAACTTTGGTACTGTTTGCTGTTTGTGTACATGTACTCTTTTATGCACACAGTGGTGTTTAGCTAGTACGACAGAAGGAAATCTTTGTCAACGAATGGACATGTCTGTGTTGTGTTACAATGTTTGGACTTGAGAAACTTGTAGTTGAGGAATCTGCTGTTTTTGAAACTTTCTGATGACTTTGTAAAGTTAAATGAACTTGTGCATATGCTGTCTGCATGCATGTATTTGTTCAGATCATCTGTCAGCATACGTTGAAGCACCGCCACAGATTATTAACACTGGAGAGGATCTCTGTCCACATTTGGAATCTTCAGCAGACATCACTTGCAATGGTTGGAAAACACATAGTCAAACTTTTCTCTGAGTCTATCAACGAGCTGTGCTGCCTTGATGGAATAAAGTATTAGAGACAAAACCTGTCTGAAATATGTGTCAGCCAGTAATAAGGATGCCACTATGTGAGAGTGAAGGTAGGCTTTGTGTACATTGCATGCATGTGTACACAATAATTTACTCGTCGTATGTTGAGTGCAATAGGTGGATTTGTACTATCGCTCAGTCACGCAGACATGCTATTGCATGATTAGTCGATCCTGTGCGACATCTCAGAGTTCACTTTTTTCTTTTTTAAACCAATCCTCCAGAGCCATGAATTAGAGAGTTGTTGTGATGTGAAAAGTAATGATATATATACCGGTATGCAAGGCAAGTGAACAGTGCACACAAGAACAGTAGTGCACATGAACAGCTGCGTTACATCGCATGCGCGTGCACGCGTGCGTAAGCTAAAATACTTCGATGATAATATTTTGGGAAAGAAATTCGTTTTTTTGTGATTAAAAAGAATTTTGGAAGGAGTTGGTTCTTAATTGGCGATGGAAGAGAGAAGATATACATTGTAATTGTGGCACAGTTGTAATAAAGTCGGAAAACATTTTGTAACATCACACAACTGAAGTATCCTCACTGTTTTTGGTACAAGACTGAATTCCCCTCCTACACTTCACATGAAGTTTCCCTGGGATCTTTTCCTGAATCTGACAGCTTTACAATAGATTTTTAGTTTGCTCTCAAAAGCTATAAAAACTACATGAAGTTGCGTCTCCTTGAAGCTTTGCAATTGGTTAAGAACATAATGGGGCACAAATTTAAAATTGCTCAATTTCTTTTTAACTTTTGATTTCAAACACAAAGTACTCTCTGCTTCTGTGTGCATAAATAATCCTACATGTACTCTTTCTTTCCTTTTGATGTTATCAATGTTTTCTTTTTACTTTTGTCCACTCATGTGCAGATCCCCACATCAAAGTGACAGGAAGAATCGAGAACATAGCAGCAGCCAAAGATAAAATCATGTCAGTTCTAGATACAAAAGTGAGTCACAGAGCATACATTCTATACTTGAATATCTGTAGTTTTGATGTAGAGCTATAGATTATTTCACATTTTGTTTACAAAATTGGATGTTGTAGACACAGTTTAAATGTGTTGTATACCATTTAATGTGAGCCAAATAACATGAAAAAGATGCTTAAATGTGTGGGTTGCCTGTCCGTTGCATGTCAGCATGACGACACAGATAACATGGTCTATACTGAAGGTTTTTTTTATCTTGGAGGAGGAAATACTTTTTTCTGACAATTATTATTGGCCACCGCTGATCTCCACTTTCAGAGCAATAGAGTCACCTTAAAAATGGACGTCTCCTACACGGAGCACTCACACGTGATCGGCAAAGGAGGAAACATCATCAAGAAGGTCATGCACGACACAGGCTGCCACATCCACTTCCCTGATTCCAACCGGGGCTCTCAACAAGAGAAGAGTAACCAGGTCTCCATAGCTGGACAGATTGGCGGAGTGGAGCAGGCTCGGGCTAAAGTTAGGGTGAGTGTACCGGTTGAAAGACTTCATCCTTCTCCTAGTCCTACCATGTTTTCACTCACTCTATCCCCCCTAATCCTCCCTCCATAAAGTAGTTTTGAAAATTATAAAATCTGCTATTTTACAACTGAAAAAAGGGGGATGAAAATAAGTTAGAAGGAAGAGTAGATCATTTGCAGCTATCAAAAAAGAAACTGACCAAACTATTGTTCAAAATACTTGGTTTGAAGATAGTTATGGTACTAAACTCCCTGTGAAATTATTCTTTCTGTGCATGCTGTCGTTTTGAGGAAAACAACAAAAGAAGGTCATTTCCTAAGAAGAGTCAAGTGACACTTTTTTGGAAATATCCGTTACTAGTTGGTTTGTAATTGGGCAAATATGTGAATGGGTGCGTGCAAGTGTTGCCACGATGCACGAGCACGCATGGTTATTATTCCTCGGTTCAGTGCGTGACATGGCGTAGCATCGATTGGGCTGTACCAGTATGAGAACGTGTCCTGAATACTGATTTCGGGCGCAATACAAAATACAAACGAAAAATATGCAAAAATGACAAATGATCTACCCTACCTTTGAAGATGTTTGATTTAACAAAATCTTGGGAATGGTACATGTAGAAAAGGGTTTGAGGTTCACCCCGAAATTAACCATCCCTTCAAATTTTGGCTTTGCCACCTGTACTGCAAAATGGCACAAAGATTGTTAACAACTTTTGAATATTCCTTTACCCTGTGCATGAACAGTGCAATAAACAACCCTTGGCCCATCTGTAACCTCCAATGATGAATTTGGAACTTGAAACCACCAACCACAAAGTAACAACTGTGAAAAAACCACAACACACTGACAAAAACGGGCAGGGAAAACAACCCATTATGACTCTAAATTGGGAAGATTGTTGACTTGTTTGTTGACATTGTTGCTTAGAGACGCTCTGTCCCGATGATACCCTGTGGTTGAAGATGGGTCACTTGGGGTCATTCACTTATCTCTCCCACCCCCCCCCCCCCAATCCTCATCTAGACCAGATACATGTACCGGTATTTGAAATGAGTCATTTGAAACCATTGCCCTTTTGAAGCAGTCAAATGAAAGGACAGCTTGATGAATACATTGCACATTTCTTTTCAATACACCTGTAGGTTACAATGCATGTATACATGTATACATGTACAATGATCCAGACATCATTGTCAGTGTATTATATGCAGTCAGTTCATTCTAAAATGTCAAACTTCAAGTGTTGAAAGGGGGAACTTTCGAAAAATGCACCTAACTTTTAACGATAAACTGAATCAAAATTTGGAATGTGCTGTGGCCCATTAAATTCTCACAGCTTACGTTGGAAATGGAAATATTCATTACATTTACTGTACTCAATGGATACGTGTATACGAGCCAAACTTTCAAGACGTGCTGAAGTTGCTCCCTTGTACAGTATATCTTTAAAGATGCGTAGAATCATTTGCTTTTTGTGCATTTATTTTGTTTGATGCAACAGAATTGCTCAAATTCTATGTATGGCACATAACAACTTGTTAAAGTTTCAGGTCTGTAGATCTGTACCTTTTTAGATAACAAAAAGTGTTCCAATGTTAATTTTCTTCCAAACTATTTCAGACGGAATTATTTCACAGGGTATTTGATACCAGTCCTATCCTAGTCCTTAGAGCAGATTTTCTGTCGTTAAATCAGCAGGTACTTTTGGAGGTACTTGGCTTGTGCCCTCCCTACTCCCCCAAATTAACAGGTTTTGTTTGATTTGTGGTCAATTTCAGACTCTATAGCAGGCCTAATGATGCACCAAAGTGTTTCAAGAATTTACGGTAGCTTAAAGGTGTTCTAGATAAAACAAGAAACTTAAAAACTGACAAGAAATGTAAAACATACAACCGACAGTCAACACAATTTAGGAAGTTTAACGGCTGGCAGCAGTGGACTTCAAACAAGTCCAATGCGAAGATAGCGTAAGATCAGGAATAGCTCCCTGAGCGTTGTTGCCTAATCATTGTTGTGTTTTTTTGGACTTTGACATTCTTGGTTGTATCAGGAGCTTCTCCCGCTGGTCTTGGTCTTTGAGCTTCCCATCAGCAACAACCCAGCTCCAGACATCAACTCACCCACCATCCAACAGATCGTCCAGCTCTACAACGTTGGGGTGAATATGAAGCAGCGTGCTCGGGGCTACTCCACCACGGTCACTGTCAGGGGGTCTAGCAGCAATGCCGCGGGGGTGAAGGAAGGCACGCTACGCTTGATGGAGCACCTCGTTGGGAACTTAGGGGTAAGTCCCAGGAAGGGAGGATGGGGGGATCCATCAACAAGGGGAGACCATCTGGCCATTGCAAGACTAATTAGCATGGGTGGGTGACCACAAAGTGCAAACTTAACATGCTGGACATTACAAAGCCGGAGTTTGTTATTTTAAGATATTTCATACCATTTGCCTCTGTCATAATTTTATGAAATGGGCCAATTATAAGGGCTCATACTTTAAACAGACATTGTTCCACTGTTCTGTCCATTGGTGCCGGAAAAACACAAGAAAGAAAGCGCTGTTCAGTTTCAACCATTAATTAAAATGCAGCTGCCAAATCTGTCGTGTACAGAACCAGTAGTCAAGGGGAATGCCTAATTACTACATATAGCTAGTGTTGTGGGAAACTGACATACATGTACATAGTGTACCGAGCGTATACATCAAGTCAATAGCTGGCTCGTACCTGTTCAAATATATAGTAAAAAAAAAAAGCCGTACATTTCAAATGATGGGTCGGTCTGAATCATCATTGGAAAATGATGGTTATTCCTCTTTCCTTGAAAATGATGGCATACCAGGTGCAACGATTTCACAGGATGCTTTATACTTTTATTTACCTTCAGTCAAGTAGACTGTTTCAAAATATTTTGGCACTTCCATTTGTGAATGTTCGCAAATGGCGCACACAATACCTTTAAAGCTATAGTCCATCATTTGTAATTAGTGCATTTTGTTCGTTTGAAGCAACAAAAGTGTTCAAAATCTAATGAAGGATACTGAGCAACTAACCTGATGAAGTTTCAGCTAAGCTTCAGCTGTACATTCCGAGAAAAGCAGCATTCTAAGATCTCAATTTCAAATCAAAAGTTACTGAATCATGTTTTGAATTGTTTTGAATTGCAGCTATACGCGGCGTCGCGCACTGATCCGACAAATTACACGTATAACAACCGCGCGCGCGTGTGCGTCGTTCCAATACTTGTGCGCGCTGCGCTGAATAACAAAACGAACTACTAATTTAAATTTTCCTACGGTGCTTCTTAAGAATCACCCTTGGAAATGCCTCCTTTCGTTGATTACTTCAAAATGACAGCTTCCCAGAAAGAATAATTTCACAGGGAGTTTAGTTCCCTTACTATCTTTCAACCAAGTTTGTTTTTCAACAGTAATTACGCCAGTTACTTTTCGGATGGCTGCAAATGATGGACTATAGCTTTAAAGACAACCAAAGGTACCGGTAGTTGTGCTACATTAAGGTGTTAAAATCACATGCATCTTGGATACATTTTCTGTCTTTGGTTGGCAGGTAACTTGTCCCGTGAGTACGCAGATAGAGATTGCACCACAGCATCACCAGTTCATGAGCGGCCGTGGAGGTCTGAACATCAAACAGATCATGCAGGGTACCGGTGCAACCATCCACTTCCCTGACCCTAACAGTGCACAGCGCAAGAGCACCGTCTTCATCTCGGGACCGGTGGACTCCGTCATCGTAGCTAGGCAACTACTCATGGTATGTTTTTGTTTTTGCCAGACTTTGGGGAGTCGGTCATTCTTTAAAGGTTGGTTACACTATTTTTCCTGTCCCTGTTATATCTGACATAATTTTATAATTCTGATGCACTCATTAAAGCTGCAAACCCTGTGCTCTTCAAAAAATTGAACTTGTTTTCTCGTAACCAATTTTCAGATTGTATGTTTTGTTTTAACGAAAACAAAACACCTTATTTATTCTGATTTTTGAAATCTGTAACCCCCTGAAAATGGGCTTTCAATTTGAGCCCAAATGAAACCGCACTGCAAGAGCCAGATTATTGTCTGGCAGCTTATAATTTGAATTTTTTGTGAAGTAATAATTCATTAACTACCGGTAAAAATCAGTGGATTTTTTTCGTTTGATACGGTATCTCATTCAAAAGTGAATAACTTCAACATTGCTAGGAAAATAGCAATTGAAAAACAAATCTTTTTTTTTTTGAGGTGTAACTATAAAATCTTTTGTGGAATATGGATAACACTTGAAATCCCTGCACAATTCTTTTGTGTGGTTAAGCTCAGGGCAAGCAGGCAGATTCAGTCACGCTTCACTGCTCTCCACAGTGCTGTTTTTGTGTGCGGTGACTCTCTGTGTGACACTGTTACTTTAACACTTCATATCTCTTCACCTGAAACTGACATACAGGGTTTACATATTGACTTCCCATGGCATGGTTCATAATGATGAGTGATCAATGAATGATTGACTGTTGGTTTGTCCATTCCATGCAGGGATGTCTCCCCCTAGTTCTGATGTTTGATGTCAAGGATGAGGTGGAGGTAGATACCACTAAACTAGCTCAGTTGATGGAGCAACTTGATGTGTTCATCAGTGTCAAACCTAAGCCTAGGCAACCCAGCAAGGTAGGTCATGCCTGTATAAGTGCCTGCAGTGGATTTCACAAAATAATGCGCAATTTACACCATGCGTAGGATTTACGTAACATTTCTTGCACAGCTGTGCAATAATGTTACAATTGATTTCACAAAACTTGGTGTAGCTGCGCAACGTTTAAAATGATTTTCAAAATCTTGACGTGCATAATAACAGCTTTTAGGACAGCTGTTTTGTATGACCTCTTTTCGATCACAAAACAGTCATTGAATCACCTCTGTTTGCCATTTTGAAAAGAGTATTGTCGGACTCTTTAAAATCATGCAGCAACTTAAATAATTTTGTGGCAACTTTAATAAATCAATAAAGCACAGCAGTAGCATTTAGAACGTGCCAATGTTTCTCTGTTTGACCCAGTCTGTCATAGTGAAGAGTATCGAGAGGAATGCACCCAGCATGTACCGAGCCAGGCAGGCGTTACTGGGCCAGGAATGCGAGAGTTGTGCAGCTAGTTGTACCAGCACCAGCGTGCGGGGATTGAATGGTACGTCGCTGCCTCTGTCTGGGGTCAACGTGGCAAACCTCAGTAAGTAAACTGCAGCTGTTGTCATTGCCTATGCTGCTGTTTTTTATTTTTGCATTAGCCCCAATACATGTGCTCGTTTGGCAATTCGTGTGCGTATTGCACAAAGTAAACACACCTAATTATATTATGTATGTGCACCAACCCATGGTGTCTTCACGTGAGCACCAGGTGTCGTCAGCAATGCATTCAAATGTCTCTCCTAGTGGTCTCCTCCAACTCTCTCTTTGTAGCCGTTGAGGGGGTACGTGTGCACAGAGTCTATAGGGTGCTTATGAAATGAAGTCATCGAAGGGCAAAAACCCTTTTAGAAAATGTATTTACAATGTTCACATTATCCCCACTTCTCCCTAGGTCTCCTCAACTCCAACCTCATCAATGTCAACACCACCAGTCTTCTGTCTGTGAACGGTCTGCCTGTCTCTAGGGTCAGTCCTCGGTCGTCCATCAGCGGTCCCAGCGGCCTCTCCTGGCCTGCTGTATCCCAGCAGTCAACTGCACTCACTCACAGTAAGTCACCAACAAGGAGCAGCATGCAAATTTGTCTAAACATTGTGTAAATATCTAGCTCAGATCTACAGTCAGAGAACGGATAGTACATCATTGTCCTAATGACCTCTCATGGATGAAGTCAGGTTTCTAGCCTAGGCTGGATTAGCTTTTGGGCTCTATGCGCAAACAAGAGAGGGCTCTCTTTAACCTCTTGTGAGAGCAAGTGGACGGGACTGGACGTGCCTGTACTGGTGTGTGCACGTATAGGGCAAGGTACGCAGGACTATTTTTATTCTGAATGTGAGCAAAGTCAAGGCGTTGTCGCATGAGTATCAGTTGTCGTCAGCGAAGCATTTGAATATCTCTCCCAGTAGTCTCCACAAACTCTCCCTTTATTACTGTTGAGGGGGTACTTGTCCACAGAGCCCATGGAATTCACAGCTTGCTAAGATGCACACACACACTAATCTACCTGACAACTTGTTTTGCTGGATCAGTGGAAATTGAACAACCTGGCAAACTTACCTCAGAATACTAGTTTGTTTTTTATTCTTCATGCTAAATGTCGCAAAAGTCCATCCGAACAAACTAACATGGTATTTGTCTACTAATTATTTTCATACATGCATATCCAATAATCCTTGTGACAATTTTCATTGTCTATCGTTCCTTATGACAATTTTCATTGTTCATCGTTCCTTATGACAATTTTCATTGTTTATCGTTCCTTATGACAATTTTCATTGTTTATCGTTCCACGTTTCCCTGCAGGAGTGACTCCCGTCCTTTTAGTACAGCAGGGTCACAGCGCCCTCCAGGGTCAAAACACTCTCCAGGGTCACAGGGCCCTCCAGAGTCAGAAATCTCTCCAGGATCACAGTGCCCTCCTGAGTCAGAACACTCTCCAGAGTCACAGCGCCCTCCAGAGTCAGAACACTGTCCAGTCTGTCTCTAACCAAGTCCAGAACCCAACTCCTGTTCCAGCCCGGAACCTTGTTTCCAACCCCACCCAGGCCCCTGTTCCAAATCCTACGCTGAACCCCAATATGAGCCCCCCTCTTCACCCTGCCCCCAACCCTCGTCTCGCCCCGACAGCCTCCCCTACCTCATCCCCTTCCCATGCAAATCCACTGTCAGCCCCTGTCCAACGATCCCAAACCGTGGCCACCAATCTTCAGGTTGCAATGCGTCCAGCAGCTGAGTCGACGCGAGCCTACATGTTACCAACGGCTGGCGCACAAGCAATAAACACTGTGATGAACACCCTGCCACAAGGGGTCCCGCACAGGGTAATACTCCCATCAGCATTGAGTGCAAACCCACAACCAGAAGCCCTAAAGGCATCACCACAAAACACCATTATGGCAGAACAGCTGGTATTCATGCCCAAACCCAACATATCACAACCTGAGCCACACAGGGTGATACACCCTATCCCGCACCAGCCAGAGACACAGAGGGTGATACACAGCCCCCCACAGAGAGGAGTACACCCGACGTCACCACCCCCCGGATTGACCAAGGCAGATCCCATCCTGCTCTCAACGGAGCTGCAGAGGTTAGACATGGCAGCCAAGGCAGCGAGGCTGATCAGCTGCTGCGGAGGTGAAGAGTTGACTGAACACATTGCACGAGCCTCTCAGATTGATAGACACCTGTCGACCCACACCAAAGACAGAGGCAAGTGATGTCTTCTCAAGTTCCCCTGATGTGAAACTGGGAATGTTTGTTTTCCCATGCCAATTCACCGCAAGCTACCTCCAGCTTTGACCAATACAGATGCTTCATTGTTATGATAATGACACTAATGAAATATTAGCTCAATCATATTGGACAAGCTATAACAGTAGAACCCTGCTATACCCTCCCAAAAGAACATCCAATAATTCAACATTCAATATTCATTTCACTTTAATGCTCTTCTTTTCCCATTAGTGATGAGCAGTAACCATAGCAACACAAGTAGCAGCACCAGCCCCGCCCAGAGCCCTTGCAACAGCCCCATTGACCTCATCACCATGCCGATGACCTCTCCCATCAACGCTTTGCAAGGAAGCAGCAGTAGTATTAGCAGCAGCGGCAGTAGCATCAGCAGCAACAACAACAACAATCCTAAGCTGGTGGATCTAGGCTACCTGCAGAGCAACGTCTCACCTAGCAACAGCAATGGCAACTTGTCTGGGGTGCTGATGGGGTCAGGGGGTAGGGGGTCGTTGACCTTGTTGCCAGATGGAACCCTGGGATTGACGGGATCGGGACTCGCATATCAGTGAGTGCAGTGACATCTGTCACGAGCCAAAATGGCCAATCGGACCAGCGTTTATCTCTGGTTTCAGTGACATAAAACGACTGAGAATATTTATAATTCCCCTGGATGGGATGCTAGTCCATCGCAGGTTACTCCCCAGCTAATGCAAGTACACATTTGTACTCCTGGGTGGCGAGAGGCAAGTGGGAGTGAAGTAGCTTGCCCAAGGACACAACATATGACCATTAGCAGGATTTAAACCCTGACCCTCTGATCATGAGTCACAAACCCTACCACAAAGCCACACTCCCCTTGAGTGCAGTTGATTAAACATTTGACAATGTATTTAATTTAGCTTTAAAGGAGCAATGCAGATTTTTCGTTTCTTCTGAGATAGCAAGCTTAGAACAAGGACATTTACAAATTTGGAGAAAATGTGTATCGGTTTGCAGAAATGCCATAAAATAATATTCATGAGGTTCAATACTTGCCACTCCAAGTCAAGGTCTTTGCAACGTTTCACCTGTGTGTGTTCTGGTTGTTGTCTGACTGGTTATCAGTATACGACAAGAGAACACCTGACGAATGTTATAATACATTGGTTGTATTGTGTGGTGTTACCACAACCGATACCAATACTGTAATTCCAACACATAAAGCCTCAAGTTTTGACCAACTCCCTCGATATCTTTGTTCAGTGCCAACAGCAGGAGGTCGTCAGAGTCGGGCGGTGACTCGGACAGTTCCGACAAGCGAGCCCCTGGGTGCGAGCGACGGGACTGGGAGCGTGAGCGAGGGGAGTGGGAGAGGGGGCGAGAGCAGGAACGACAGGAGGAACTGGACAGGCTGGCCCTGCAGTCCACATCAACGTCTTATAATGGCGTGGATTATGATCAGAAGAAACTAATGGCAAATAAAGGTACGCTCTTCAACAAGAGAGATTTCCCTGCCAATTACGAGGGTGAACTGGCACCAAACAATACAAATGTTGCTTGTAAATGGGGAGTAAAGTTGTGAAGGCAAAACCGCTGTTCAATGTAGGGATGAGGTTGAGCCCATCACAAATCCCTGCAGGTCCATCACAAGTCCTCCAGTCCCATTCAACTCACTAGCTATTCAAATGAGCTATGTCAAAGACGTTTCTTTTGTTATTGTTCATCCACTGTTACTTGTGACTGGACGTGTGATGTACTTGTGAAAGAACTTGTGATGGAATTTTGAAGGACTCGACTAATCCCTGGGTCAGTGACTAGCTTGTATATGCTCTGAAGAAAATCTTACATGTCATGGATTCTTCCTGCTTAAAATTGAAGAAGAACATTGCATTTTGGAATCAAATACGGCACACTGCATTCCACTTGTTGTGATTTTCGAAAAGTATTCCTTGCATTTTGTGGTATGTGTGATGATAGATATGGCTTCTGTGTATCATTGCTGGATTGTTCTTGCAGGAAAATTTGTTTAAACTTAGTAATCAGAAATCTCTTGTTTTTACCTGGTAGCCATGAAGAAGAAACCAATCGTGAGTGAAGTCCGGAGGCCCACCGATCAGTGGAGTGGTTTAGGGTTCTCCAAGTCCATGCCAGAATCTGCGATTAGAGAACAACGCAAACCTAACGGATTCTCACTGTTCCATACAGAAAAGCTGCCCACTACTTACGAGGTATGCAGACTTGAATTCTGTGCATAGACACATGAACATCAAAAGCACCTCAGCTAGGCGATAAATTTGGGGTACACTTTTTTTCCTGTCCCTGTTACATCTGACATCTATGATTTTATAATTCTATGCACTCCTTAATGCAGTCGTCCTCCACGAGTGTTTATGATTAGCAAACTACCTACCTAACAACTAAATATTGAGTAAAGTCATTCTAAATGATACTTAAATGACAACTTACAAAGTACCAAGGTAACAGGGACAGGAAAAAGTCACGCGTTACACCCTCTATTACTGGAATGACTCATCTAGCCCACTGGTTCACGTACCACAAACAAGATGGTACCGAAACGGTTCTTCATGACTCGTTGAGGGTTTAATTTCTGACACATCCCATAATAGTAAACCAGATATTGTAGCTGTTTTCAGCAAGTCTCACAACATAACAAATTTACTTTTTAAATTCTTTGTTAGAATGCTTTGAAAGAAGAAAGCGAGAGTAACACCAATGAGAGCAGCTGGCCACCGGATCGTTCGAGTCCGTTAGATGATTTGATGACATCACAGACGTCGGAACAGCAACAGACGTCAGCTGCACCCGGGGAATACCCGGCGAACAGGAAAAAGAAAGGTGTGTGTCCGTAATTCCCCGCATGATACGATGTGGGCAAATCCAACCTTGTGTAATATACGTGACGGAGCTTGTAAGAGCTCAGTGAATATACCTGAAACTGTATCTTTGAAATTTCATACATCCATCATCTAGGAGATTCTGACCATCTGGTCAAGGAGATTACAGCCTGGGAGTTTTGCATCATTTCTCTGAATCATTAATTAGGTATCGTGGTTAATTTGCTCTAACAAGAACATTACTATCCCTTTCATAAGCTGGAACTGCTGTTCTGTATTGTGATACTGAGGTTGTGTTAGGATTTGAGTCGCAATTTATAATTTCAAACTTAAGTTGTGGAATGTTTATGACATGCATTCCTATATTGTACTCGTTTATGAATTGCCCACATGATCACCATGTGAGCTGACTTTCATTTTTCTGAGGAAATTGCAGCAGCTCTTAACTGGGAGCTGGTACAGTCGGGTTCGGAAAACTGCAAATGGATGTCAAAGTAAAACTGTTCTTGAAGAACTAACCATTTCCCAGCGGTACAGATTATAACCATGTTCATCAGGCCATGCGATAAGTTTTTATGCGGTAGTGCGTGTTCTACCCTCACAGGTACCCATGCTTGTGGGTGGAGCGAGGCAATTGTAGTAAAGTGTCTTGCCTAAGAACACAAGAACCCTCATCTCCTTCAGAGTGTGAACTCAATTTGCATTGTGGGTGGAGCGAGGCAATTGTAGTAAAGTGTCTTGTATGAGAACACTAGCACAGTCTACCCCTTCATGGTGTGAAGTCACTTTGCATTGTGGGTGGAGCGAGACAATTGTAGTAAAGTGTCTTGCCTAAGAACACAAGCACCCTCTACCCCTTTAGAGTGAATACCCACTGTGCATTGTGGAGGGAGCAAGACAATTGTAGTAAAGTGTCTTGCCTAAGAACACAAGAACCCTCATCTCCTTCAGAGTGTGAACTCACTTTGCATTGTGGGTGGAGCAAGACAATTGTAGTAAAGTGTCTTGCCTAAGAACACAAGAACCCTCATCTCCTTCAGAGTGTGAACTCACTTTGCATTGTGGGTGGAGCGAGGCAATTGTAGTAAAGTGTCTTGCATGAGAACACTAGAACAGTCTACCCCTTCATGGTGTGAAGTCACTCTGCATTGTGGGTGGAGCGAGACAATTGTAGTAAAGTGTCTTGCCTAAGAACACAAGCACCCTCTACCCTTTCAGAGTTTCAACTCACGTTGCATTGTCTCATCTGTATTTTCAGTCACCTACACTAATCTGAGTTGCAGTAACTACATCGAGGGTTCTTCCTTGCCCAGACAATCTAAAGGTCTGTGGTCCAGCAATGAGTGCAGTAGTAACTCCCAGTCTCCTGCTAGTATTAAACCAGACCTAGGCGATCTCTTCATCAATCTAGGCCTGGGCAAATACGCTGACGTCTTTCAACAGCAAGAGGTGAGGGTCTCGGAACACGATCTCGGTGCCTGTAGAACTTTGGCCAAGTTTTATGTTTGTCCTATCGTTTGAGAGAAAACTAACATTGAAAGTTGGTTCAACATAGGGTGCCCTTGGGCATGCTTTTTACTCTGTTTTCTCAAAATATTTATCTACCGAGTTGAAAACTTCAACAGGTTGTTGTGCACCCTTCTTAACATTTTGAGAAGTTTTGATGCTTCAAACAAACAACAAATGCACAAAAAGTAAATGATCTTACATTTGTATACTGACTGCATTGTGGTCTTCCTCCATCAGAATTGTATTCAAGCCCATGTCACATCTTGGGGCAATCATCAACAAATGAAATCACAATAGTCAGAGTCACATAGGAATACCTCTGAAAATGACCTTTGTTCCCATTGTGCCCTCCCCAGATTGACCTTTCAACTTTCCTGACCCTGACTGACAATGACCTGAAGGAGCTGGGGATTACGACCTTCGGTGCTAGACGGAAGATGCGTCTGGCCATCTCAGGTAAAGAAAACGTCTCACAGATGTTGACAGGTTGAAAATATTCTGATGAAAATATTCCATATTTGCTATGCAAATGATCTCTGTTCCTGCTGAATGTGTTTACTTCGGATGCAAACATTGCTTGCAATGTAATTACGTGTTGAAAAAAAATCTCTATACTTGGCTAGCCTTAACTATCTACCCCATGGAAATATTGTTAGGGTTTTTAAAGGTACCTTCCCTTCCCGTCCGCTACTTTTATAGCTGTGCCAGTTGAAAAGACCCAAGGTGTTCCCACATGGGCACTTAAAGGTAATATACAACATTTGCAAACATCAAAAAACAAAACTACCAAATTATTATGAAGTATCTTACTTGACTGCAAGTGAATAATAGTCCCAAGCATCCTGTGAAATCATGGCACCTGGTGTGCTGTCATTTTCAAGAAAAGTGTAATTTTTGTATTTCCAACAATGGTCGGCTGACCATCGTTGGAAAAAAAATTTGGCTTTTTCAAACACTGCCCCCAATTTACCAAATTTGGTTTCATTTGCTTTATAAAGAAAACCATACAAAGAGGTTTTGTAATGCGATCAGAAATTGCTTGGGTAACTTGCTTCCAAACCCTTTCAGTTCTGTCGTTCAAATCGGCCCCCCCCCCCTCTTTTTTCCCGCTGCAACCTTTAAGTATCATCGTTTTTCTCGTCTTTCTCGGCAGACATGAACAAGAGTAAGACCACACCCTTCCTCTTCAATGCTACCAATACCTCTGGTCTCCTTCACGAGGGCTCCAACGGATCCAACGGCCTGATCCACTCCACCCACGGTCACGAAAGCCCGACCAGCGTCTGGTAAACCACACAAAATACACTTACCACCACACCAAATCACAGGTACCATTGTGTAAGTAAAGTAATGGCTTCGCAAGCCTTTGCATTAACAGCACTGCCGGGTTTTAAATCAATTCTGATTCCATCCAGATAACTTTCTGTTCAGAATACAGCAAAAAGGTTGTCGTGAAGTACAAATATACACCCTTTACATGTAGGTTTTATGAGGCAAATTTTGCCACCGTGAATGGGTTTGACTTGATACCATAGAAAGCGACAAAACAGCATGAATTAGTCGTAGTTTTGCAACAGACTCCGTGCACAAGTACCCCCTCACTCTGCCACATAGAGAGAGTTGGAGGGGCCACTGGGAGGGTTTCTTGAACGCATTGGCGCTGTACGCCTGGGGCTCGCACTAGACGATACGAGTTTGTGTACATAAATCGTGCGTACTTTGCCCCCTACATGCACGCACCACGGAGCTTCTACAAGTGTCAACATCAGTGTTTTTAAAGAGCACTCCGTCAGCTCAAAAAAGCTTGCGTACATGACAAATCATGATCACATCAACAATTGACCCTCGGTATCAAAAAAAAAGTTTGTAAATTCTGTATATTTCAAATAGTTTTCACAATACCAGACAACTTCGTTGATACAGTTTTGTAGGGTTTGTAGAGGAATAAATGAATAAATGTCGAGGTCATTTTACTTTGACCTGTACTGTGTTGGGTCATTTCGGGGTCATGTTGGGGTCAAGTTGAGGTCAAGTTGAGGTCATTGATGAAGGATGTTCATGCAGAAAAAAATCAAAGTTTGAAATTCCATCAATATTGATTTGCACAAAACAATATCATTCCAAAACAATACAGTCCTGATGCGTCAGTTTTGTTGAAAAAATTGTTTACAAAAGCAGCTTTTTGTGAGAGTTTATGTTAGAAAATTTCAACATTTGACTGATCGATTCTTGTCGACCCTCATTTGCAAGCAAAGGTCCGAAATTGGAGTGGGCGACATTTAAACTATCAGACAATTTAAAAAAGTAAAGAAATTTACTTGACAAGGGTATTGGAATTATATTGGAAGGGGAATTTCCTTGACGAAATTGTTATTAATTTTTAATGTTAATTTTTCGTTTATATTTTTATTATTATTCTTGTGGGGGGGGGGTGGAGCAGGGTTCATTTATTGCATCTGGTTTTCAACCATTAATTCCTTTGTTTGTTTGCACATGACAATGGTCACTGTAAAAATGGCCGCCGCTTACTTTTTGCAACAGGAACGGCAAAACAGACTGCTCCTTAAATACACCACGTGTCTTTCAAATTAGATGGGGATGATTTGAATGAATGAATGAATGAATCATCGACAGTTGCTTGTTTGCAGAATGAAAATTTAAAACAAAAATGTGATTATGTCACATTTACGAGACAAATAGTGCAGAGCAAATGCCTCCATTGTGGAAAATATATGCAACACTATTGACCTTATTTTGAAACAAAAGTAGACATTTAAGAAGACTTTGAAATACTTGCAGCAGTTTAAGAATGTTCGAATAGTCTCAGACTATTGTACTTCACTGAACACTTTTTTAATTAAAAAATAATATATTTTCAGCTGAAGCTAAAGTCATATATTTTTGAAACAGCATGCATTTTGTAGAACTATTTTTCACCAACGTAAACCATTTTGCCTTATTAAAGTGTTGAAACAGAAGTGCTTCCGAATATTAAAATAAAAAAATCATTTTTAGAAAACATGCAATTCATGTCCATTTCCATGAACACCGATTTTTCATCACTTACAGAAGTAGTGTATGAATCGAACCAAACTTTGAAAAGATTGCCTTGGGTTTGTTCTTGCAGACGGTGACTTTTCACTTTTTGATTGAGTTGACTTACAAATACTTGGAAAACATTTTTTATAGAGGGGACAAACATTTAAGAAGACTATTTGAGTAGCATCAACATGCATCACATTTTTTTAGTAACTCCATATTTAAATTTAAATATTCAAAGCCCAACTCGGAAAACCATTCCCCCTGCTTTAAAACTGGGAAGTTCTTAGTGTTACAGTTGAAGCAGAGTATGTATTTTATTTATGGAAATGTAATTATTCATAGGAGATATAAAAAAATGCCTAGCACTGATGTATTATGGGACATACTTGTAAAAGGTGAATATAGTCTTGAAATTAGTTCAAGTCCGTTCTCCGTCCTCTGTACACATTCTTTGTACACCCTTGTCAATGTGTCGTCCACACTCAGTAGAATTAGTTAGTAAATACACAGAAATTCCTGTTTATATCTGAAATTGTAGAAAAGAATTTCTACAGAAAAGTTTCAGGCGCTTCCATACTGTAAATGAAATGCCGTTTTCTCTGCAGGATGCAGAGTAAAACAGTTTTATAAGTAAACATTTATGAAATATTCTTTAAAAATAGATGGAACCGTGGCACAATTTTTGAATAATTTACCCAAATCCTTCAATTTTAATAGGATTTTTCATGCACCCTAAGGGGACTAAGGAAAAAGTGGAATAAAATATGGGAAAAACCCAAGGGCAAGACAGCAGTTTTAGCTATTTTGTGTTAGTAAAAGTGCATGGAATGGACCTAAAACGCGGCAACGGCAACGCGGCTCTACAGTACGAATTAAACATGTGTGTAGATTTTGGACAGCGGCCCGGTGTCGAATGATGCTAGCACCCCAAGTTTGTTTTTAGTTTTCACGGCTGGCCGTGGTCCAGACAATATCGTCCCCCCCCCCCCCCCCCCCCAAAAAAAGACATTTGTAATTGAAGTATGAAGGCATGAGAGAGTATGACTACGACTTTTTTTGGTATAAAATCTAAGATAATGACTTAGTTATTACCAGTTAAACTCAATTTGTTGCCTGCCACGGTGACAAGTGAGAATTGCTTGAGTCTTTTTTTATAACTTTCTACTTGAAAAAATGTTTTATCTCGTTGCTCTGAGAAATTTACCAACAGCTTTTCACAAGTACAAATCTTTTTATTTTGTTTTTATTTTTGCCTATACTTTTGCTTTAACATTGGGAAGATTATTTTGAACGATATACAGTACATAACACAATACTCCCACAGTATTGTCACGTGACCATTAGGGACAGTGGTCACGTGCAAAAGGTTAATCGTGACGTCAACGAACATATAGAACCGCCCAAATGCCAAATGCGAAAAAAGTGTGAAATCTTTAGAATTAGTTTTGCGAATGCCAGCTGAATTTTGAATTAGTAAAACGATGCCTTTGTAGTTTTTCTCGTTCTAAAGTAGACAAGCTTTACTCTTGAGTGCTAATGTTATTGATAACTTTATTATTTTTTGTTCATTAGATGAAAATCATATATGCAATTCTCAACTTTTGGGGGGTTGAGTATAGACATTTTTAGCAACTTATTTGTATGAACAATCAAAGATTTTTAAGGAAACTTCTGTGTACTATTTGTGTTATATTTCTATATGATGAACTGTACATATATTTTGTATGTAAAATAGTTTGCTTTTGTAAATCATCTTTCTTTTTTTTGTTAATGAAAGGATATTTTTACACTTCTACATTGTCAGTTAGATCAGTTATTTTACAATGTTATTACAACTGAGAACCGAAGCAAAAGTCGTCTTTTCAGTTTTTCAAGACGCCTTTTTGAAAATATGTTGATCATGTTTATAACGGACTTTGTTTTATTGTATTCCCAAACACAGGTATTTTTTTTTGTATTGAATTCCGAAATAACTTTTACGATCTGCTTAATAAATTAAATATGTTTGTGGCTTTAGTCATAAAATTAGCTCCGTACGAAATGTAGTATTCTACGATGAAAACAAGGAAAACAACGTTAGTTTGCATTTTCGTCCAAACTCAAAACCAGAGAATCTTACTCTTCAAACTCTTATGATCGGTTTAAAACCTGATGGACAATCGCTGTTTTTCTTAATTTATTATATTTTTTGTAAGCAGTTGTAAAAAAATTGCATGTCCGTATCAAAGACAGAGCAATAATGCTCACACTAACATAAACTGTTTCCAGAAAAAAAAGCAAGCAGCATAACTATTTAAATTGGTACATTATCAACTATCACCTTACCTCGTAACCACAAGTAAATTGTAATCAAATGTTACAGTGGAAAGGATTCAGTTCAAACGTTGACGGGTTTTTGTTTTAGTTTTTGTGTTTAAGTTTGGATGAAAAGTGCTTATTTTGTTTTAGGACGATTTGTTTTTGTTTGTTTCTTTTTGTTTTTTGTTTTCAGGGGCCGTTTTGTTTATTACTGTCGACAAACGTAAACAAATCACGTACTTGATATGAGTGCTATTTTAAAAATATTATTTAAGGGTAGGAATACATTTTACACGCAACTTGACAGCACCCACGAACTGAAACGAAGTTTGTGCAGTGTCAGACCTTTTCATTTGTTTAACTAACACCCACCTGTAAACATATTGTTGTTGCGATGTACTTATTTTACTGGCAAAAGATAAATTATTACCGGTCTGGACTTAGCAGAAAGCACTGGACCACCGATTAACGAAATTTATGTCTAAATCTGAGAATTTTTAATGATGATGAGAATGGAAGGTTATAATTATCTTGCAGAGTATTTGGTGAATAAAAAATACTCTGTGAGCCCAATAATAAGTATTTTTCTGGTTTATAATTGTAGTCAAAGTGTTGATGCACTTTTGTCATCGGCGTGCGGGTGGCAATTTGTTTTCTTTCGTGTTGCAATCTCCCCCAATTGTGAATTTTATCTCTTTTATCATGCTTACTAAAGTCCTAAATTTAAACTTTTCTGACGCATGCGCATAATGGTCATGGACTTTACTTGGTTGCAGAAAATTAGACTGTTTCCCGGCCCCCTCTTATATTTAAAGTCCAAAGGACAATGGGGACAGGGAATCAGACTAGCAGAAAATGTTATTCCTCTACACTTGAACAGAGAGAGCGCCCTCTATTGGCGTGACATTCATTAATTTGACAAAGTTCGTTAAACTGGCCCATTTGCGGTGCGAGTATCCAGCATCCTCAATTAGTATTCAGTTTGTTTCGTCTACTTTTAATAAAAACCTCAGCCACAATCTTAGCAATCGAATAACGGGCTTCAGCCATCCGCACGCGGCATGTCAGTTTCCATAGAGAGGCATCTTGATTAGATTTTACATTTGGCCCTGCTGGTGAATCAGATACGAGAGGGAGGACTGGGAGCGTGCTCGGCCCTGCAAGACCGGCGGGGCCTGAGGGCATTCAGCTCCCGGGGAAGAAACCTGTCAACATCACGTTGAGATGGTCAGTATTTCACAGGCATGCATGCGATTCTGGCACGATAGGGCTTCCCATTTTCTAATTGGTCCATTTTCACGCATATCTAAATGTTGACAACACAAGCCCAGTCTCAATTTTAAGAAATGTATTCATAAATTCTCAAAAGCCATGCGCGAAGAGGGCGCCCTCTGTTGTCCAGCAGGAACCGCATGGGAAAAAATAGCGGGCTCTGCTTTAGGCACAAAATATAATTTAGGGGGTGTGTATACGATTGTATTTTAATCGTATCACTTGACGATAAAGGGATATAATTCGCTGAACCTAACTCGGATGTTATTACTGTAACAGTCCCTAAATGCATGATCTGATAGTAACATTCAAGGTTTCGCATCAGTCTGCAAACTGCATCTAATGATTGAAAGCAAAACCGTAAATTTGGTAATGTTCCCCCAAGAGGCCCCATCTGTCCCGTCGCTCATGCATAGTTATGTACATGCTATTTATTCTGATGATATACAAGCTTCGTCTAGCCATACGCGTAACGGATCCGCTGTGCTGAGCTATCATCGATGCCCAGGTCTGTGTTGTCGAGCGTTTACGGGGCTCTAACTTGATTCAGAGCGCAGATGCGAAGCGCTCGAGATAAGTGACCCGTGTCACATCAGGCTTTAAAGGGGTCTTGAAATTTCCTTTTAGTTAAACTTTGAGGGTAATTTTTTTTATGAGAAGCGTAGCCATCAAGTTTAAATTTCGGTCATTTGCGAGAGGATGGAAAAGGACACGGTAATTAGACAATAAAATTCAAAATGTTTAATATTTTAGCATGTCTTGTCTTGTCATTGAGTTAAATATTGTGTAAAAACGGCAAATAGTATGCATTTTACATGATATCTGAGTGATAACCAAAAAAGGTCTGTGTTTGTCTGAAATTCTGTCTAGACAAGTAATTAAAAAATAATTTAAGACCGTAATTGAATATTAATACCGTACCGCTTACTTACTCCATGATGTGTAACTGGTGTGAGAAACATTGCAAGCCCCGCCCGAACTGCCGACTACAAATCCCCAGTTTCCCTAACTATAAAAACACATGTTTTCAATCATTGAATGATTTTTGGCATCCTCATTTGCCTTTGTCTTCAAAATCAGATTACACAAACGTTTATCCCTCAAACCACGTGGTGCTTGACTTCAGTTACGTGATATGTCTGACGCATGCGCAGTGAGTGCGATTTTTGAAATAGTATTATAATAACTGCGTATGGGATATTTGATTGGTGCTGCTGAATCTGCCCTTGACAGGAATCGAATCGAGGATTTGTGATGGACTTGCAGGGACTTGTGATGGGCTCGACTACATCCCGATCTTAGATGCAACGTTTCGCCCTCACATCTTAATGTACCATTGGGAGAAGCTTTTGTCAATGATTGATCTTAATATCTCAAGGGTGATTGGAACTCTAAGAACACGATCATGAGTTGATGGATGATGAGCCGTCTCCACCCGATAGACGAGTAACACATGAAGGCACATAGCGCCTGCAGTCTACATGCGATGAACCCAGCAACATTCCACACGGTATGTTTCCACATCGGTTGTTTTTGGCACAACATGGAAATAGGATACGGGATGCGGGTGTCAATGCAATTTGCAGTGTTGGCACTTTGGGATAATAGGCCGAACTCGGATCCTGCATGCATGAGCAGCCGGCCGTGTTGTATCCCAATCGCACGGCCTACTTTCTGAAGTCGATTAACGGGCATCTTAACATGTTAAATGAATTTCAATGTTGCTGGGTACTTTGTCTTTATTTTAAGGTTACGAAGTTACCTCATTGATTAAATCATAGAAAATAATGTTAATTTCCCAAGTTGTATCTGATCATTTGCTCAGTGGAGGCCTAAAGAGGGCGCCAATAAGGCGGCGACATTTCGCTGGTTCGCACAGCCCGGCATGCTGTCGGTTCGACCATAGGCTACCAGGGATATATTGGGGCCGTTACACTTTCACGTAGTACGAGACCACGCTTGCACAAACACTAAAAGAAAATTCGTCATTTTTGCGCCAAAAAGAACGAGTGACCCATTCGTCTCGGCGACTTTTGCATCAGCTGCGCCCGGCTCACGCCCACTCGGTTTATCCAGGCAAACGGCCGCCGTCCGGTCATGGAGAGATAGCGGCGCGGAAGGACCCGTGGACAGCTAACTAAACCCGAAGTGATGCCTGACATTTAGGGATGCCTGTCTCCCATTAAAGCCGCCTTCGACAAACACCCATGGTTCCCCTTGCGAAATAAAACAGAACGTGAACTGCGCCGTAGCGTAAGATGTGCGTGACTTCTACGTGTTGGTAAAATTCATTTTTTCCTCTTCTAAATCTTCAGAAGCTGATGTATGATAGAGTAGGCATGGAATACCCTAGATAATAACCTTCAAAAAACAGCATGTACATCATCAGTAAGTCAAAAAGAAAAAACGTTCGTATAGA